TAAAACATACGGAATTTTGATATAGAATCATTAATTACGTATACAAACCTTATAAAAAATGTATCATTTCCTTATTTTGATTTTTTATAGGGTTTCTTTATAACAATTTATATTATTTTTTTAAAATTATATTATATCATTTTAATCTTATAATTAATAATATTTTTTTTTAATATTTCAATTAAATTATTTTATTATTTTTATAAAGTTATTATTATTTTTTAAAATGATTTATATTGTTTTAATCTGAAATTTTTTATTATTTTTTTTTAAAATAATTTTAGATAATTTCATATAATTTGATTGAAATGATTAATTACTAAATAATAAGTCAAATTGATTTTTTAACTTAATTTCAATCATAAATAAATTGGTTAGTCTAATTTTAGACTAATTTTAATCAATTAATAAAGATGTTTAATTAATAATTAATTGACAGATGATTTATTTATTATATAGGAGGTTTACTAGGAAAATAGGATTCTAAAAATTGTTAATTTTAATTTTTGATGATATTAAATTAAAATGCAATAAGAATTAAATTTTAGTAAAATAATTCTCAGAATCCCATTTTCCTAGCAAGCCTCCTATATGTCTGATTTTTGATTTTAATTATATATTAAAAAATTTTAACTGAAATTTATAGTTTAAAATATTTAATACCTTTTATTTTATAAGTAATAATTTCTTAAAAAAAGCAAAAAATATTTTATATTATATTCAATATAAAAAAATATTAAAGTCTTTTAAAGATTTAGCATTAACAAATTGCTTAAATTTGTTCCTTTGATGGATAAATAAGTTAAAGTTGAATATTATCTATCTTATGCTTACATTTGACGAAATATTGGATGAGCATCCCGGAAATATATGAAATAAATTCATCGGATGATTTGCATAAATGCTTTGTAAATTATTATTTATTTACATTATCTTGACACTTGCATACTTGTAACATTATGAATAGAACAATATTGAGAAAATTTATCAATATTTCCAATATTTCCGCAATTCACTCTTTTAAGCAGGAAGGTAAAAGACATTTCACACCTTGCATTAGTTCTTTATTTTTGCAAAAACGATGTCTTGCTACACCAAGTGAAGCTACGGTAAGATTATTCAAATATTATGGATTTTTTCATGGTTAAATTTAGTTATTATTACAAACGATTGAGCGAAATTGTAAAAGCGAACACATTTTTTTTCCGAACAGCTTTGCTTAATAATTTGTAAGCTCGGACGCGACTTAATAACATACTATTATTCTGCTTATCCACTTAAATATTTGTGCAAACAGTGATATAGTTTCGATGGTTATTATTATTTATAGATGACTGTAAGAGATGCCTTAAATATCGCGCTTGAAGAGGAATTTATTCGTGATGAGCGTGTCTTCTTAATTGGCGAGGAAGTTGCCCAATATAATGGTGCATATAAGGTATGTGATATTAAATTCGATTTATAATTCCTTTAAGGTTACATTGTTTAAAAGTTTTAATATTAGGTATCAAAAGGCTTACTTGATAAATTTGGCCCGAAAAGAGTGGTCGATACACCAATCACTGAAGCTGGTTTTGCTGGATTAGCTGTCGGTGCGGCATTATCTGGATTGAGACCAATTTGCGAATTTATGACATTTAATTTTTCTATGCAAGTCAGTTAAATTATATTTTATATACATATACACATATTATATTATTCTTGATAACTAATTTATGCCATATTTTTTCATTTATGAAGGCAATTGATCATGTAATTAATTCTGCAGCAAAAATATTATACATGTCCGGTGGAATCGTTCAATGTCCTATAGTATTTCGTGGACCAAATGGTTCGGCTGCAGGCGTTGCTGCTCAACATTCACAAGATTATTCAGCATGGTATGGCGCTATTCCTGGATTAAAGGTGGTTTCCCCATGGGATAGTGAGGATGCGAAGGGTTTATTAAAGGTAAGTTTATATATTTTTAATTGAATTGAATTGAATTGAATTGAATTTTATGTAAAATTGATTAATTCCAACAAATTTATCGCTTTGTAAAAAGGCTGCAGTGAGAGATCCCAATCCTGTAGTTGTGTTGGAAAATGAACTTCAATACGGAATTTCATTTCCAGTATCTCAAGAAGTGATGTCACCAGATTTTGTTCTGCCGATCGGAAAAGCAAAAATAGTGCGTGAAGGCAAAGATGTAACGATCGTAGCACATTCAAGGCCAGTAAGCTTTTGTTTAGAGGCTGCTGATATATTATATAAAGAAGAAGGAATTTCTGCTGAGGTCATAAATTTGCGCTCAATTAGACCACTTGACATCAATACTATTGTTAATTCATTGAAAAAAACTAATCATTTGGTGACGGTCGAATCAGGTTTTCCCCAATTTGGTGTTGGTAGTGAAATTTGTGCTATGGTGATGGAAACAGAAGGATTTGATTATCTGGATGCTCCAGTAGAAAGGGTGACTTGTGCTGGTAAGTATAAAGAAAATAATTACTTAATTAGTAGATTTATGATTTATCTAATTATTTACCTTGATTTATTTTACTTATCAGATGTTCCAACTCCATATGCGGCAAATTTAGAAGATATCACTTTCCCAGATACAAATGTAATCGTTAAAGTCGTAAGACGTGCTTTGTATAAAAAAAATTAATCTTGTATGAACAGTCATTTTAATTTATTTTACATTAATAAATAATTTTTGGTTATTCTGAACTAATATATAAGGAGATTAAACCAAAATATCACGTGCCTCATACATAAAATAAAGTTTCCAATTATAGAATTCATTATTCATTATTCTGCAGATTTAGTTGAACATTGCCATAAAAAACTAATCATTTATCTAATTATTTGTTATTTGAATTCAAATTATTAAATGAATTAAATGGTGGATCCATTAGAAATTAAAAAAATTTTTTTTTTCGTAAAAAATGGTTGCTCAACTTCGCTTCGAAAACTCTTTTTGGACACCAAATAATTATACTACAGGAATCACAGTTTTATACGATAAGCTTGAACAGGGAAGAATCGAAAATGAGGAAATTGTTGGATTCATAAGGGTTAGCATTATTATGGCACCCGCAAATTTTTTAAAAGGTTCGAATTTTTTTGTTTGTATTTCAGCAAAAAAATTTCTAACGAAGCTTATTTTCTTTTCTTTTAAAAAAATGCTACTTCCAAATATTTAATTGATGGCTAAAAACGTAGGAAAGGATATCAATTGAGGAGTTATATGGTAAAAAACTATGTGATCTCTCCAAGTCATGTAGACAAGACGGATTCTTGCGCGATGACGGTGCTTCTCTACGAAAATCATTTGAAACAGTCAAGAATGAGTGTGGTAATTTAGGGCAAGCACATTTACGTCTTGCTGGCAATTTAGCTGAAATTGTATTACAACCATTACTTAAATCTAAAGAGGGGCATGCTAAACGTCTTAAATCAAGTAGAGAAGAATTAACTGGATATTTGAAAATTTATGAACGGTTAGTTGCGGATGTAGAAAAATTGCGTATTAATTATGTGAATAAATGTCAAATAGCCGATGAAGCGGAAGAAAGAGCTACCAATGAAGAATTAGCTCAAAAATCTTTAGAGAAAGGAAAAATGAAAAATAATTTCCAATTATTAGTAGTTGTTCTCGGTCAACAATCCTTTACAGAGGATGAAATTATGAAATTTCTTTCACGAATGCGCGATGAAATTTCTTCTCGAGAAGTAAAATTTCCGATATTAGGAGTATATAATGATGTATACAGTGGCGAGGATATTGTCAAATGGTTACGAGAAAATCATCCTAATGCACGCACTTTGAGGGAAGCTGAAATTATTGGCCAAGAATTGGCTGATCAAGGATTTTTACGTCTTGTCGGAGCATACGGAAATAAATTCACTGGTAGTCCTTCTTATTACTTTCAATGGAAGATAAAGGCTTTTAATCTTAGAGCTACTGAAGAACCTGTTACTTTGTCAAAAAGTTGGGGTGATTTGGTATCGACTATTGCTACACCTAGTCAGCCAGCTGAAAAGCGTGCTCGTAAAGAAGCTGATGAAGCTGATGAAGCTTATAGACATGCAGTTAGAAGACTCGATAGAACGCGTCAATATCTTGAAGAATGTATGGTATGTGTTAAGCTTTGTGGATTGCATAATAAAAGAATTAAATTATTTTTAAATTCCATTTGTTAATATTTTCCTATTTATCATATGTAAAACATACAGATCGATCATTTGAATTTCATGGAAAAAAGTGAACTGGATCGAATTAAGGCTTCGAAAACAGGTAATTTGGTGAATCAAATTCTTAATATTAGAAAGACTATTATAAAATGGGTCAACAACTTCGAAATAATCAGTTCGGCTTATTAGATCCCTATTATTAAATTAGCTTTCCTGAATTACGCCGCGACATTCGGTAGCATTATTTCTACTTTCCAGGATATGTCAGAGAGATTGCTTATATATCATGAGGCCTTAAAACCAGAAAATGATATTCAATTCATGATTGAGAGATATCGTACTGGTCCATTCATTCCACAGGTCATTTTATATAAGAACCAGTACAACGGAAGCGCAAATGGTAATATATAATCCTTTTTTTCACTTAAATATAAATTTGAAATTTATCATTTAAAATTTTTTTCCATTTCAAAATTAGATCAGACGTTTGGTGTTCCACTAGAAGAGAAGGCTAAGCATGATTTAAAGTATATTCCACAGATTGTAACAAAATGTCTTAGTTGTATAACCAAAGGATCTTCTAAATGGAATGATGCTGGTAAATTTTAATATTTTTTTTTTTTTTGTTTTGTATACATTATAATTAATTTATTTTTTAATTAATTTAAAGATAAAAGACTTGTATGGACAACAAATGTTCCTTTGACGTCAATTCATGCACTTCGTGATAAAATCAACGATGGTAAGCTATATATATATATTAAAATTGAAATGTAAACATAAATATAATACTAAAAAAAAAATTTATTTAATTTCTTAGGTGGAAAAATTGCGTTAAAAAATTTGAGAGAACATGATTTATCTGTTGTTGCAGGAGTCCTGAGATTGTATTTATTGGAATTACCTGAATGTTTGCTCACCTTTGAACTTTATGAACCGGTGAAGATGTTATATTCAATTAGTGAGTTATTATTTACCTTGAAATTTAGTTAATGTAAACTTTATAACTTACATATTAATTGTATATAAGGTCCTGATGATCAAGACGATAAAACGCGCCTTTCCTCTGCGGCCAATTTGCTAATTACATCTCTTAACGATGTAAATTATCGAACTTTGAATGCATTCGTATCTCATTTGCATCAGTAAGTTTAATGTTAATAATAAACTATGTTCTCATAACCTATTTTTTAAAAAAAAATATATAAATATTTTTAGGTTAGCCTTGTCTGTGAAGCCTGATGATAGGTTTATTACAACTATTACTCAACTATATGGGTTTATTTTATTAAGACCAGCAAATAAATCTACAATTTATCTTGATGACAAGCACCCAACCAAGTTATTAAAGGACTTAATTATTTACTATGACGAGATATTTAAGAATTTAAATATTACATCAAGCTCAATAAGTGAAGTTACGAGACGTTCTATAAGCCGCGATTCTTTGCAGTCTAACAAATCTACCAATACCAAGTCAACTCTCTCAACTATTTCTAATCGTTCCAGTCGTACTAGCAACATTACAATAAATACTTCACCATCTATGAATAAATATACTAAGGACTCTCAAAGTACTATATTTATATTGAATTATTGAATTATTAATTAATAATCTATAAATTTTAACTAACATACTTTTTTTTTTTTTTTTAGTGAAAGAAAATGAATATTCAAATGATCATCTAATTATTCAAAATGGATCGGAATCAACCACTGGGGTATCAACTAAGTTTCCTATTGAAAATACATATATAATTTCTCCAATTACTACAAAGGAACCAGATTCAATAGGAGATAGTCCCGTTAGCCCTACAGCACGTTCAGGTAACGGCAAAGAAGATTCGTTGTCATCTAATCATGGAACAACTGGATTAGGGCGACGTCGAGGATTTCGACGACAATCACGTGGAACTAGTTCACCTTCTGGTTCAATAAGCCGCTCAAGAAGAAGAAATCGTGAATCAGAAATTAGTAATGATCCGGAAGATGCTTATGAAGATAGAATATCTGATTCAGGATCAACGGAGTCATCCCCCATCTCACCGATTTCTAGAACAAATTCTAAAAAGTTATATACTTCACGTCCAAATTCAGGACACTTTGTATTTCCAAACAAATCATTTATTTCGGTTGATGATACTTCGTTAGAAGCTGTACCCATTACTCCCCACGAACTTCAACCAAAGAATCCATATATAGGTGAAAACTATGAATTTTAATTTTAAATTTTAAATTATTTATATATCTGTATCATTGAAGTCTTATAATATCATCGGTATTAGTTATTCTGTATAAAAAATAATATATATATATATTGTATTTTGCGAATGTATTATTTTTATTTTTATTTTTTTTTTGAAATCTTTGTAAATTCTGCAAATATAATAAATACAAGAATTAAGTCATTTAAAACATAATCAGTAGCTAGACCAACTCTATGAAACAAGCAAGAATTTAGAAATAAGAAATTTAAAAGACAAATATTGAACAAGTAATAATTTCCTTCATTAAATGATCACATCCCATCAATATCGGTTTCGATATCGGTTGGAGGATTATGGTCCATTGCAGCTAGCGATTAAACATTCAACTTTTTGTCACTAATGAAACTTTCTTCGAGAAGATCGAACTGATTCATTTATCACGATCGCAAGTCTATACTCAGTTCGAATAAATTGATCTGATATATCAGAAATTGGGTTCATTCGGTAAAAACCAGTAAAAAGTTGGCCTTGAAAAACTTGCGAAAAATAAGTAAAACATTTGATCTTATAATTGTCACATCCGTCATCATCATCTCACATCGCGAACAAGAATTTCATAAACGTTCAATAATATACACGAATATCGTCAATGATTTCTCGGTCTCGTTAAAAACTTCCTCACTTAACTTTCTCAATAATTATTTAACTAATGATGTACATAGTATGAGAATTTGAAGCATTTTTTTTTAGCAACCTTTCATCTTTTAAAGATCACAAAAGATTATCTTGACAGGTCATTCTCTGTATATTTCCTATCATTCATGATAAAATTTACGCACCTGACCTCCTTCATAAAATCATTTATAGATCGAAGAAAAGATGGCCAGAAAATTGGCATGAAGGTATGAGTTGGAGAAAAGTTTCGGTACGCATGGAGGATGGTACAGCTCACATGGATGTGGTTATGAGAAGGACGCTACCGGAACTCAATTATTGAACATTTATTAAAAAATCATGAGTTACAACTCTTACACATTGTAAGTGAAAGGAAAAGAAAATTATATAATCAACGTTTACCTTGATTTTAATATTCATATTTGATATTTTGACCGCAAATTCAAAAAAAAAAAAAAAAAAAAGATGTAATGTGATACTACTGTGCGGTACAAAAATAAGAAAATTAATTTAGTCCTCAGAGATTTGAAAGAATGGTTACATGAACTTCTTCCGAAATATTTGAATTATTTGTGTATATCAAAATGAATATGTCAATATGACGAAAGATTTTTTTTTTTTTTTGATTTTTCTACAGTGATGATTTCGCGATTCATTTACTTGTAAATGTTATAAATATTTGAACAAATCATTGATCCTGATATATTTTTGTGGAATTCAATCATTTACCGAAGAAGAACCTTTAACAACAGTAAATTTCTTAATACTTCAATGTACTTTATCAAAATTGTTGATGTCGCTAAATCGCCACGCGTGGCATTTGCGGATTAATTTCATTGACTATTGAATCTGGACCTCAATTTACTTTAACACCTGCTTTAAACGATAGCAGATTAGGTACCAAATAATAATTTATGACTCAAGGGAGAGAAGAAGGAATTCACAACGTACTTTTAATAGACGAAGAAGTTCATGTTGCAAGGCAAAGGAGAGAGAAATCATCTTGCGGCTAAAGAACAAGGACGCCTATTATAGTCGCTAGAACATGTCGACGAATAATTAATTATAAACAGAGATTACGAGACTAAGAGCTCGAGAGGAAAAAATTACTTGAAAAATTTAAAAATTTATTATAAACTTGGTCTGGACTTGCTCAAAGAACGTAAATAATTTCATATGTATTTTAATACTATTATCGCGAGATTACACATTTCAAAAACTTTGATAACACAATATAAAAACCTTTTTTTTGTTTCAAATTTCAAATAAAATCAACTGGTTTTGATCTTTATTATATTATACATAACGTTTTACTAATATACAATTTACATATATCAAAACAAAACGCGAAGCAAATATTTTTCTTTTCTTTAGTTTACCTGACCTTCCTAAAACAAATATATGTGCACGCAAACAAAAAAAGGGGGAAGAAAGAAAGATCCTTACCGAATGACTTAGAACATAGCGGAACCAAAAGCAAAGAATCCACGAAACTATAAAAGGCAAACCAAAAGCAGAGAATCCGCGAACCTACAAAAGGCAAACCAAAGAATCCACGAACCTACAAAAGGCAGAACATTACGGAAAATACAAGCAAACTTACAAAAATAACGGAACTTACACAAAAAGCAAAAAAATCCTGTAAACCTAAACCGAAAATCGAAGAGCGGACGACCAGCCTAACCGACTAATAAAAGTAAAGTAAAAAATTTTTGATTAATAAAATGTCATATAAGAATAGAACTATCAAAAAACGGCTCTGATATTTTTATTATTTCGCGTGTACATATATTTGTTGGGAAGTTGCAGAAGAGAGGAGAATGATCGAAAAAAAAAAGTAAAATCTTTAAATATCCGTGATAAAAAATTTGGGGTAAAGAAATTTTGGGGTATGAACATGCACGAATTTCACGTGATAAATTTATTTTTGTATCTTGAGGTAGTGATACTATAAAGTCTATCTTCAAGTAATATTAATTACCTTATATAGTAAGATACTAAATTATAATCTATGATATATGACACTGCCCTTTTCAAAAATTACCTCTAACATCGTGGAGGCTAACTCTTTTAATAGTAATTTGCCTGTAGTTCGTGCAGGAGACCTCCGTCTCCTGATTTATCTTCGAATAAGAATTATAGAGTAGCTGGTCGACTGATTCTGAAAGAGGAATCGGCCATGCACATTCCTTGAATTGGAATGTGAGAAGGAGGCAAAGTGGTCTCTATCAAAGTCAATAAAAAAAAAGATTCTCACGAGAGAGTAAAGTCTTTTATTGATCATCCAAACCTGTTTATCCTTTTGATTTTTGTATCAGAATTATTTTTGGGATTTAATTGGTATGATGACCATTACTTATCATTTCGATACTTTCAATACTTCGCTAAATAGACGTCTTTTTTGATAAATTACAACTTTGAATTTAAATTTTAGGCCAAACCGAAAATTAAACCTATAAGTCACATGCATAATTCAATCCCAAAAATAACCTCTGTCAAATATCAATTTATCTATGATAGCTGCTTCTATACTTCTATACAAAATAACATTTATGCAGAGATTGCACTTCTTAGTTTCACTAACGATGAAAAACTGCCTTAAATAAATACTTCATTAAAATTCTGGTGAGAGTGCTGAATGTCAGTCGTTTTCTTTCGAAGCTATGATTTTCTAAATGCGAGTAATTAGACCAGCTTTTGTTAAAAAAGGAAGTAGCGTTTGGTAACAAAATTTTACCAAAATGGTTTACGTTACTTCTTACAAGAATGCCAATATCAGCCAAAACATTGCCAAGAACTCCTCAAGAGAACGAAATCGCATATCAATGAAACGTATCAACGTTCTTCGACCACTTTACATCAAAAGATAATATTGAAATCATCCCTTTCTTGATGGCATACGCTTGGCCTGTTGATCGAAAAGACACAATCGGTATTAATTAGAAGCGTAGAATTGAGGTACATAACTTTCTATCCTCGCAGCAATTGGAGAGAAGTTCATTTTTCTCGATGGATGAGGCTCAAGCTTCCGTTTCTCACTCTTCATGAAATTCTCTCACATGGTGACCTTGATGTGCTTCCCATCCTCGAGTCCCTAGACACGTGATCTCACCGGATCTAAATGAGGGGTTGACCATCTCAGTACTCGTGTTTCGCCTATGGGCGATCTACAAGAGATCAATTACAAATGGAGTCACCGGTCTATACAGTTATTTGCTTTTCCGACCAAAAATATATGTCACTCGAATTTTTACCTGTCTATTCAACAGAAAAGCAAATCAACGAAAAAAAACTGGAACAAATTTGATAAAGACATTAAGAATTCAATTCACGATAGAATGTATCGCATACCACAACCTTCAGAATGCCAATTTCGCTTACTTACCAAACAACCCATCCTCATCCAAGACAAGCAACAAGTGATTAGCCGTAAGAAAGTGATTGACGGACGTTCACCAAGTATGGAGAAATGTAAAAATGTCGGAAAACATATCGTACTATTTGTCACCGCGTAAGACGAGACTTATAAGGAAAATGAGGAGGTTTTAATAACAGAAGAGAAAAAAGAATGTATTTAGACTTCAGTATATTGCATTCTATTGAATGTGCGTGAATAATGACGCGGTTTATGAGAATAAAAATTCCTTTATACGGGATTCTAGAATAACAGTGAGTGTTTTTAGTTTTTTCGATAATATACAGTCAAAAATTAAAATTGATAAATATGGATCGTGCATATTGGCGATTTTGTGTACATGACTTATAAAATTTTATTAAATTATTTAAAATTTTTGATTTATTTCCAACAATCTACTCTCCTTCCAATAACATTTTTTGCTTCTTTGGATGTTAAATGATACACTCCTAAATTTTCCAACATTCTCGATACCGTTGTCTGTTCTAATTCATCATCAAATAATACGGAAATTACTTGAGATAAGGTCTTTTGTTTTGGCTTTTTGTTATTGCACTCACTTTCTAACGGAGATTGATTTGCGGGAAGAGTGAGCAAAATACAAGCGTCTCTCAACCTAAAAAGGGAGAAATGTTGTTAGATATACTACTAAATAATAAAGACAATCTTAAACATACCTTCTAAAGTAACTTTCAGGCTTTCGAATCCATCTTTTACCAATGGTAAATAATCCTTTTTCCATATCTATTTCAAACTGCCATCCGCCCATTTCAGAGAATTGGTTTCTCATCAAGATACGGTCCCATAAATGATCTTCCAATTCCTTTGATACGTCTTTGTATATATGTTTAAATATACGATCGGGTAAATTATTTGATAAGAATGTAAGTGAATGTGCAAGATCCGATAATGGCATATAAAGCTCAGGTGATAGCTCAATAATTGAGCGTGATATAATATCTTTTGATTGATTATTCAATTTATGTATTTGTTCAGTTGTAAGCTCAGTTGAATCATAACCGTATATCTCGGATCTTGACCAATTATTTCTAAAAAAAGAAAAAAATCAGAAAGTATTACAAAAAAAAATTAAAAAAATTATTATTATATACTTTTTGCTATATGTTTTTAATCCATTTAAAAATTCTCTGGAAACATTTTTCACTATTAATGATTGAATTCGTTCGCAAACATTATCGAATAGTTCAGCTGGGTCATCGAAAACTGTTCCTTCGTCAACAGTAATTTCCTCGTCTACATGAGCTGAAGACGCTCTTTGACCCTGTTCTGTAGAATTGATAGACGATGTCGATGTCGGAGATGGTAATGGTGATACGCCTGTATTACGTGCAGCGCGAACAGTAACTTCATGCCAAAGATCAAGGAAAAACTAAAAATAAAAGATTAGATAGAATTATAATAAAATTAAGAAATTTTGAATAGTATTAAAAATTATAAATTATTTACCGAATCTTCACCCCATTCTTTGATCGTTCTACTGACGAAACCCGCACTATTTAGCCACCTACATAGTCTTTTCAATCCTTCAATTCCTGTAATGGATTTCCCGTCTGTATTTGGAACAGCCCTTACAAACGAATAACTCAAATTTTCGAAAGCGTCAACAGCAGAGATAATCCTTTTAGCATAGATCAATAATATTTCAGCTTGAATATCAACTAGAAAACGAATCCGATTATAAAACATCGGCAATAATTTATAACGATCTAAAATGAAAATATATAAGATTAAAAAATATTTCAACCATCTTTAAAACTTGGAAAAGAAAGGCATTTAATGATACAAACTAGTTACAAGCTCTAAAAGGTTAATTAACTTTGCTGCTGATTTAGTCGGCTTATATTCATCATCTGGGTTTTCCTCATCGACGATTTCCCAAGCATCTTCCGAATGCATAATCTCATTATATCGTTCCTCCGCGACTTTTTTTTTTTTTTTTAATATAATTTTGTTAAATAAAAATATTCAACCTAGTTACCAAATATTTATGCTTTATACGTACAGTCTTTTTCAACCTTTAACCATGCCTTAAACCATTCTTTCTTCCCAACAAAAACTTCAACGCATCCCTTCCACTCTTTTTGCCCGGAAGGTGTATACATGTGTAATTCACGTAAAGTTTGATCAAATTGCAATGTTTCAAATACAGTGTGAGAAAACACTTGTGGAGAATTCAATAATTTTGGCACACTGTTATTTAATTTTCTTGTAACAGCTACAAGCAGACACCGGATAAACTCATTCTTGAATAATAAAATACTCGACTTAATCAAAATAACTTACAATTAAAAATAATAAAAAACCAATTTAATTGACTAATATACTTTTGCGTGATATTTCTCAAAGCCTGCATCATCAACGATCGATTGTACCGCTCCAGACAAGAATGGTAAATGTTCGCGTATAGTAGTGATAACATGACTAAAATACCACTCAGGCTAAATTTGTTTGTAAAGAATAAAGATTGAGAAATTGAATTTAAATAAGAGAAGATATTATCGTGTATATTCACCTTATCGATTCTGTTGGTAGGTCTTTTTGAATCAAAATGATATCTGAACCGAACCATTAATGGTTCAACCATTATCTGTATTGGCAAAAGAGGTGGAAGGGACTCATTATCATCTTTAGGATTTTTAGATTCTAAAGGTTCTGGTACTTCATCATCTTCAACCGGTTGTTGTAATAACAATAATTCAGTGAATGCTTTTCTAAATGTGGATAATTTGTCTGTCGTGTTTGACGTATAAGGAACTTTAATTGGTGTTGGCCAATTAAGTGCATTAAGTGTGTGTTGAAATTTTCTGAAATTTACAAGCGAGATAGATATATTTTTTTAGTAACTCAATATTACGAATACACCGACTATTACTAATTGTAAACCAACTTTGTTAATCTACTTTTCATGTCTTCCCATAACGCATCAACACATCGTTGCAAGTATATATCTAAATGACTAACTGCATGACCTGCTTCCTTGCTACTAGTTTTGATCTTACGAGCTAGATGCGCAAGTTGTGTATATGGTACAAGAGCTTTCTGCGGAGATTTTTCAACCAATTGCTTTGCCTTTGTACTGTAAAGTATAATAGTAGGTCGTCAATAATCATTACTAATGATAATCGTGTAACATGGATAATGCATAATAATGATATAACCTTAATTCATCTATAACCACCAAAACTTTAAGATATTGTTTAGATCTTTCCAAACTATCAAGCTGCTGCTGTAATGTAACCAACTGTTCCATTATCGTTTCATTCCGTAAATCTTCTACTCCTTGAGTATTTAATATCTTTTGAGAAACCATAGCATTGCAATGATCCGTTAAGGCATCTTCCAACTCTAATCGAGTAGATTGTAAGGATTCAAGTTCAGTTATAGTAGAAGTAAAAGAAACTAGAGATTGCTGAAGTACTATCGAAGTTTTCTCTTGCGTTTGGATGCGCTAAAATTTGAAGTTAAAATCAATAAAATTTTAAAAAATAACGAATAACCATTGGAAGAACAGTTCACCTTTTCGTCCAGCGAATGCTCATTTTCTTTTAGTTCGGCTAAGACTAAGTTTAATTTTTCTAGATCCTCCAACTCTCTAAAATGCGAGTTAAAAAAGTCAACGACATAATTTTCTGTCTCGATTTCATCGGGATATTTTATAATAACTTCAGGATCGTAAGAATTTGCCATGTAAAAAAAGTCTAATTTTCATTTCCATATCTGACAATATATATCATAGGCCGATATCAATTATAATTCATGATTCGATATACAAAATTGAATAGAGTTGATGCATAAATTTGGGGATAAATTTTAGCCAATCATATTACACAAAAAATTGCCTATCCTAAAGCGGGCAAATCACGTGATATTATCATGTGATTGGTCAACGATGATTAGTCGGAAATGAACTTTAAATCATTAAAAATTTTAACTATTATATAATTTATTACTAAAACGCCCAATCTTCAGTTTAAATGTCAATAAAAAAAAATTTTATTTTATTCTTTTGATTGATCAAATTGCAAAATAATCGGATTTAAGGAGTCTTTTAACAAAAAGACATAAGATTTTGTTCTTTTAATATTGCCTGTCTCTTCAACATTCCAATATCTATCACATATTCTTTCAGTTAATTTGGCCACAATAAGTCTTCGATGTTCAGCTCCTTTTTGATTCTCTGTTTACACATATTCTATAATGATTCACAACTTTTGTATACTTCAAATCCACTTTTTTCAAACATTGAAATATTTTCCATATATCAACAGTTAATAATTTATTACTGTACAAGTGTTCATAAAAGATATGCTTATATGGCAATAAATATTTATTGCAAACTAAGCAATAACAATTGAGAAAAGTTAAATCTAGCATACCTTTCTCTTTTTCAAGTTTATTCATTATAGTATAGACCTCTTTAATCATTAAGTGTTGAAATAGAAAGGGAAACTTATAGATTTTCTTAAGAATATCATCATCAACACCATATGCAAATACTTTTTTGATATGAAAGTCAAAGACAGTACTTTCAGATTCAGATCTTTTTTTATAATTAACATTAACAATTCTATGAACAGCATCTAAAGTAATAAAAATAATTAAAATATGATTAAATCAAATAAATACAGAATCATTATTTACCAATTAAACTATGTAAAGATGATGTAATTCTCTTTAATTCACTATGAAAAGATTCTAGTGGATTCGTAGATTTGACTTGTAAAAGTAAGAGGAATGTTAACAGGCACATAAACCTTAATGTTGTATATTTCCCCAATTTCTTTTGATATATTTTTGTACAGCAGAAACTGTATATTGATTGATAGCATTCTGAATAAGATTTTCATAACCAATCGTTGTTCTTTATGTATCGCTTGAATCATAAGATCCCAAGTTTCTTTTTTATAAATTCTTTGTATTTAAGTTTTTATAACATGAATGACACAAAGGAGTATTTGACATTCTTGTTTACCTGTAATTATATCAGGAAAAGTCATTTTAATACTTTTGACTTCAATATTATTTTAATCTAAAAGTATATAATGGAGAGACCATGGCAATACTTATTATGAATTCTGTAATGCTTTTGCAATTGTATCTCTATTCTCATTACTTATAAAAAAGTAGATGCTTATATCCCAGCATCTATAAATATCATGAATATAAAAAGTGAAAAGACATTAATCATACCAGTTGATCTTATGTGTTGAATCTATAAGCATTAACCACCTATAATGCTCAAGCTTCTTTATTTATTCTGGATGTATAAATACAATGCCTTTAGTAGATTATTAAAGGACTTAATATTCTTCAATAAGATATTCTTACTCTATTAAATAAAAAACAGATTCTGAAATATTCAATTTTAAATTGAAATTTCTAATAAAATGAAACTTTATAGGATTAAGAACTTTATATTTAATATTTGTTACTTTATGCTTTAGCTCTCACACATATTCACCAAGACCTAACTTCTTTGTTGCATATTCTTTGACAGCTGCTGTAATTGCTAAAAGCAAATAATTTTTGATAGCCTTGATTTTGACTAAATTTCTAATAACCTTTTGTTATTTTATCCTATCAATTTCTAATAAAGAATGTGTATAGTTGAGGGAGTTTTTATATCATTCTACTTGAACAATTTTTAAAGAGAATATCCAAAAAATTTTGATTTTTGCATGATATAGGTTAGATGGTCATGTTTTGGTTATTCTTCGTTTTTCATTAGAAATATTTTTCTTTTATCAGACGCTTGATTCCCAATGTTTCATAAATGACATGCGAAAGTTTTTTAAGTATCACCATTTGCATAATTGAATTAATCCCATTTCGTCTAAATATTCGTTATTAATGATAACCAATTATCATTAAAATCCTCTATTTGAATTTCTAAAATACAATTAACATCAAAAAGGCATTTTCATTTTTTATCTAGTGTAAGATTTGATATTAACGTTATAGCTAAAAAAGTGTAGAAATAATAGCTAAAAAGGTAGCAGAAGATATTACAATAAAGTGTGAAGGGTTTTAAAATGTTATGTTCTTTTTTTTAAAATAAACTATTCACAAAAAATTTGTGAATTTTAACCTCTAAATGAAAGCAATTATTTTTTTTTATGATTATTATTATTATATTATTATTATTATTATATTTCATTTTCAAAGATTTTAAACATATTATTTTCTCTTTTAACCTTTTCTATCCTTTCTTTTCAACACCAAGTTTCTTTCTCCCGACTTGCTTAGTTTGTTTTTATATGAAAAAGTAATATCTTATTCAAAAAATTTTTTTTTACAAATGATATGCCAAAATCTGTTGTACTATTGTATTTCTCAATTTACTGACCAATAATTATTCGTATTTTCTGACCAATCACAAAATTATATCATATGATGTGCCTCTACTTTAGACGTTCTCCTATTATAGAAAAAATTTATTGAAATCAATCTAGTAATATAAAATACATAATTATCTGAAAAAACTCTTTCCACTGATCCATCAGACTATGTTTAAGCAAGTTAAAAAGTTTAACAATAACCCAGGAAAGAAAGCTTAACGCAGTTGTTCTGGCTTACCAGAAAGTGAAAAAGTAACAAAGAAATAACAACTTAATACTCAAGATTATTCTGCTTCACTAGAAAACAACGAAACTAATAAAATAACCAAAGAAAGTAAAATAGAAGTTGACACAGCTTTCAACGTTTTCAATAAACCTTATACTGGTTAAATTCAATTTATCTATCAGATATCTAAGAATTTGAATTAATGCTATACAATAAGAACTTTACACAACAGCAAGTTCAGCAAGAAGTTAGAATTGTTTTTCATACTACAGTGAACTCTTGATATAACAAATTCTAGGATCTGGATATTAACTTCGTTATAAGCTTATAACGAATTTTTTAAAGAATTTAATTGGCTAGTTCACTATAGTAAAGTAATTTTAATATATTTGATTTAAAAATTCGCTGTATCAAGGGTTCGCTATATCAAGGTTTGACTGTATAAAGAACAAATACCTAATAGACAAACAGATCATTTATATCTTTAACATAGTTATACTTCCATAACTTTTATATAGAACACAGTTTACCTTTCTAAACTAAACTTATTGTGACAAAATAATAGGTATTAAAGATGGTAACAACAATTATTTTATTATGTCGCAACAAATAAAAAATCAATTAAATGTTATAACATTATTAACTTAATTAACTGCATATTGCAATTAGTTGCAATTATTACAGGAAATAACAATTAGTTACAATTATTACAGGGGGCAGCAATTAGTTGCAATTATTATAAGGAGCAGCAATTAGTTACAATTATTACAGGAAATCACAATTAGTTATAATTAATATGATTAATTGTAACTTAAATTATATTGTAATAATATATTACAATATAGTGTTATAACAATAAATAATTGTTGTAATTAAAAATAATATATTGCAATTAATAATAATAAGTTGCAATTTTTACAAGGAACTGCAATTAATTAAATTACAGGGATTATAATAAATGATGTAATATTAAAATGACATAATTTTAGATATTTATAGTAGGCTTTTTATTTATATAAATTTGGCTTATCAATAAAATCAGTGGCTTTTTTTTTAATAAGGCTTTGTTAAAGGCTATGATTGGAAGTAGGAATGGAAGTTATCAAATTTTGTGTATTTTTTATGAAATTCAAAGAGATTTTTGTTAATAGTAAAACTTATTAAATTTTTATTTTAAAAATAAAATTTTTTCAATTTTTTTAAAATAAATTAAATTCTACATGTATCGAAAAAAAAATTAATTAAATTTATAATAAAGTTATAATTAATTTTGATTAAATTTATAATGAAATTTGAATTGTTTAATTGATTATATAATTAATTTGTGACTAATTTTATGATCAACTATGATTAAATTTGTTATAATATATTTAATTATTTGATTTGTGATTAAAGTTTATGATTTAATTGTGATTTAGTTGATGAGATCTTTCTAATCAAATGATTCAATCAAACAATTTGTTTATCATTTGATAGAATGATATTTTGGTCATTCTAATTAAATAATTTGTTTATTATTCGATAAAATAATATTATGATCGTTCTATCAAATAATTTATTTATCGTTTGATGAAATGATATTTATGATCGTTCCATTCGAATAATACTTAAATCGTTTGATTAGAATAATATTTTGGATTGTTTCATCAAATAATGCATTTATCAATCGATAGAATGATATTTATAATTGTTTCATCAAACGATGCTTAAATTATTCAATTAGAATAATATTTATGATCGTTTTATTTAAACGATGCTTAAATTGTTCAATAGAATGATATTTTAGATCATTTCATCAAATAATGCATTTATTATTTGAAGGAATGATATAGGAGGTCAATAGAAAAGTGGAAATCCAAATTTTGGTTAAAATTTATATTATTAGACCACTTAGCTGATCTCAGTCATATGCATAAAATTAGCTTAATAATTAAAATTAACAAAAATTTTGGATTTTTTCCTTTTTTACTGACCACTTCCCATATTTTGATTGTTTCAATTAAATGATTCATTATCTTTCGATGGAATGACATTTTGGATCATTCTATCAAATAATTCATTTATCGTTCAATGGAATGATATTTTGATCATTTTAATCGAACAATACACTTATCGTTCGATGA